TGGGGACAGCTGGCACGTGTGAATATGGTATGTCGGGTATCAGTACTGCATCAACGCTTCCTGAATTGATCACTGTGCTGTGGTTATGCACGAGGACACCTTTTCTTCGGAGACACACCTGAAGTAGGAAGAGGCCCTGACGAAGGAGAGAGGGAGGCTCCTGAGAGCAAGGGAGGCACAGTGGCAACAGCAGTTGAACCAGAGGGGAGGCCATTCAGGCGTTCATTGTACTAGTCCTGCAACTTTTCTGAAAGTTTGAAATTATATTAAAATACAAAACTAAGAAAAAAAATAGGCCGAGGTCCGAGTTTGTATTCCAGGGCCCACCCATAGGGTGTCTGACCCACACAGGCTTTTGAAACATTGGAATATCTTCCCAACGTCTTCAACATCGGGAGATTGACCTGAAAACTCTGAGTCTCTTGCTCCCCTCGCGGAGAGTGGACTTTGCGACCACACGGGGGCGCGTCCACAGGCAGCAGGGGAAGCACGTGAGTGCCCGGTTTGGTGTCCATGCTCCCCCTACCTCACCCCGTGGATGTAGGGACCTGCGGTTTCTGCACGTTTCTACTCTGCCTGGGCCGAAGCCACTGCAGACATGGGCCTGTGTCTGCCTGTGTGTCCTGGGGGGCGAGCGCCAGGCCTTTAGGATTTCCTTTGTGCCCACAGCTTTGGAGACATCTGAATCTTTCTGAAGGCTCGTCTGCCCCCACTTGTCAGATGGGGAGACTGAGGTCCTGATGGGCAGAGGTCATAGCGGGAGCCAACGCAGGGCTGGAACCTGGAGGTTCTGCCTCCAAAGGCTGTGTTCATTCCACAGCACACAGCATCTCACACGTGCACCGTTCACAGAGGACAGTCACATCTGTCCAGGCATGTGCTCCCCACAACAGCCCTGTGGAGCAGGCAGGGGGGAAGGGCTCCTCACTGGCTCACTGCACAGACACAGACATGGAGGCTTAGAGAGGAAGGGACATTTCCAGGGTCAAAGGTCGGGCATGGCAGGCCACCTGATCCAGAACTGAGCATTCTTTGCCTTCCTCTAGGCTGAGCCAGTGTGCCAGATGCCGTGTGGGGGCGTCTGAACTACCATGAGGACCCTGCAGGGGCCCCCAGCATGGTCCCTCTGTGTTTTCTGAAGGTCATCTGACCAGAAGGCCCAGCAAAGCCACTGGCACAGGGGAAGGGTCCGAGATGTCTGGTCATGTGAGAGTCCAAATGGCAGTTATGCAGGGTTCAGAGCACTGGGGAAGACAGCAATCCAGGGGACCCCCCGGGAGGAGGCAGGCTTGGGCAGGCTGAAGGTGGAGAGGAGCTGGATGGGGGAGAGACAGGGCCAGCCCAGAGAGGGGGAAAGGGGACACATTCAAGAAGAAGGAAGGGAGGGGAAATGGACATATAAGCTGGGGTTACTCTCCCACTTTACAAGTGAGAAAATGGAGGCTCAGAAAGGGTATAAGAAGATCGTCCAAGGCCTCCCAGCCAGTGAAGGGCAGCGTCGGGATGTGAACCCAGGCTATTTCACTCCCAAGTCCAGGCTCCGTCCGAGGAACAGGGAAGGGAACCAGCCGACTGTGAGCATCCCTCCGGCAGCACTGTGCTAGGTAGGGGCCTCACCTACACCACACACCAGGACGTCACTGTTCTCCTCACAGGTAAACTGAGGCTCAGAGAAGTGAAGCGACATGCCCACGGCCACAAAGCAAGTTCATTTCAGAGCCCAGATCCGGCTCAGCCTGCCCAACTCTGCTCTTTCTACAATGCAGCACAGCCTCCCTCCTCACTCTGGCAGACAGTGCCTGAGCCCTAAGGTGTGCAGGGCCTGGGGTGGAGCTGGGCTGACCTCCCGACAGCCTCAGGCTCGGGCTCCCACCCTCTTGGACCGGCCAAGGACGGAAGGGGCCCATAGAAGTGAGACCTGTTGGATTTGTTTGGGTGATGGGACTGTGGACGGGTTTGCTCTTTATTTTACTTGAGATGCTTTGCGCAGCACAGAACTCAATCAGCATGATGAGGCTGTGCCCGAATGGGCCGAGCGCAGCGTGACGTCACAGGCTAAGGCGTGGGTCCCAGGTGGCACAGGGCAGGGGTGGTCAGGGAAGACTTCATGGAGGAGGTGGGACTGAGCAGATGGGCAGGAATTAAATGTGCAGTGGGGAAGGGAGAGAGCCGTGTGGGAGGAGGGAACGGCCTCAGCAGAGGCAGGGCAGAAGGAAGGAAACAAGGTGGGTCTATAGCAGAGGTGCAGGTGAGAACAGGTGTACTGAATCTGTGACTCTCACCGCAGGGAGCAGCACTGAATGCAGCGCCCATTCAGGGTTTCGGCCTCCTCTACAACATACCCACCCATAGCCTGTCCAGGCCCTGCTCACACACAATCAGTGACGGGGAACTCATTACCATACAGGCAGCCTCTTTTGTTCCTAGAATGGTTCTGACTGTTACAGAATCCTTCTCTTTCCAATTAGATTGCTTTCCATCGGGCTGACCATGCCCCTTTCTCACTGTCTTTTCCCCAGGAGCCTGGGCTAAGCCACTGCCCTCCCTCTCCACCAGGCAGCTGGGTTTCTGAATGTCAGTACTGCGGCTCACGGTCAAGTTTCATTTTCTTGAGTCTAGTTCACCCTGCACTCTGGCCATCTTTGTGGGTACTGACCCTTGCTTTCTCTTTGTCAGCCTTCCTGGACTTGTGGTCTCTGTGAACTTGATGGGCATACATTCCATACCGCAACAGGACAGAGCTCCAGGGAAGGCCGCTAGAAACCTTTCACCAGATTGCCAGCAGTTCAAGAGTCAGCACAAACTGACCGAAATCCCCTGGCCTCAGCACAGTCTTCTCCATCTTGCCCACAAAGACACCACGGGAGACCTTGGCTCCTGTTTCCTGACATCCAGAGGCCCAGGGTCTACTCCATTTGCCTGGGCTTCCAGCCAGATGGAAGGTCGAGACTAGAGTGGTTGATTCCACTCTAGCTGGCCAGCCGACTTCCCATCCAACTCTGCCCTGCTGCTCTTTTCCAACGTCTTTGCACCTGTGCCCACCTCTGTGGCTGGTTGCTCATGCTTCAGGTCAGTGACCCTGAACATTTTCTCTCCCCAGTCTCCTGTCAGGGAACCATCCCTCCTCTCCTTCCTCCAAACTGTCTGGAACCTTCATCACTCATCCACTCAGGCCTAGCTCCTCCCCTCGACTTCCACCGATCCCCGTGACCCACCCGGCCACTTCTCCCAAGGATGCTCGCCTGTCTGACAACCACTTAAGCCCAGAGGTCAGAACCAGGGCCACAGGGCAATGACCATTTACTGAGCTCTCATGTGGCTCTAAGTTCCAAGAGGGCATTTGAGGCTTTCCATGATCACTTGGTCAGACCCCGCCCCGGGCCTTTGCACTCGCTATCCTTCTGCCTAGAATGCTCTTTCTTCTCATTGTTCTGGTTTTAGCTCAAATGCAACCTCTTCAGACAGGCTTTTCCCTGATCAACTAAGATTCCCGTCCCCTTCCTCAGGGTCTCTATCTCACTATAATGGTGTAATGTCTTCACCTGACTTATCACTATCTGAAATTATGTTAAATATCTCCTTGTTTGTTCCTTCCTTGTTTGTCTCTTTTACTAGATTCTAAGCTCCAGGAGGGCAGGGACCTTGTTTGTCTCATTAACCACGGGCACACAGTAGGTGCTTAATAAATGTTGGTTGGATAGTTCTTGATAATAAATGCCCCAGACCCAATTCTCACTCCTTTTTACCGTCGTACCCTGCAGACATGCTGCTCTCCTCCTCTGTATTTCTAGGAAATCCCGCTGCGCCTCTGCTAGGAGGGCCCTTTCTCCACAACTCTGCTTGGTGGGCTCCTACTCACCCCTTAAAACCCAGCTCAATTCCACCTCTCTGGATAGTTCTGTTCTGTCGGTTTTCTCACACCTTCCTCACTCCTCTACTGTGGAATCAGCTGTTTGCTGGTCTGCTTCCCCCAGCGTACTCAAGCTGGGGGCTTCCAAGGCCAGGGGATGAGTCTGTGTCATCATGGAAGGGAGGGCCCAGGGCCTGGCCCAGAGCAACTGCTCAGAGGATGTTTGCTGAGCGCTGCTGGACAATAAAGCCTTTTTGGTGTCCCTGCTTGGAGGGCGGGTATTTCACTTGTCTGGTGCCTCACCTCTGCAGGGTCTCCCCTCCTCTCTTGCCCCCTGAAGCAGCCAGACTGAGATCTTAAAAATGTAAACATGATCAGCTTACTGCTGATTCCAGAGAATCCTCATCGTATGCAGAAAATTTATAAACTCCTGACCATGGTGCACAAGGTCTCCCTCTTGCTCCCGGTCCTGCCTCAGGGCCTTTGCACTTGCTACTCCTGCTCCCTGCTATACTCTTTCCCTGGAAAGTTGCAAGACCAGCTCCTTTCCATCATTCACACCTCAGCTCACACGTGGCCACCCCGACCTCCCCCACCACCTGCACTCCATCGCCCTGCTTTTTTTTCATCATATATGTATTACCCTCTGGAATTTTAACACTGTCTGTCTCTCCACACTATACTACAAGCTCCTCAAGGCTGGGGCCTCATCTGCCTTGTACACTGCTGCGTCCCCAGCCTCCAGCCCAATGCCCGGCACACAGCACGCATCTAAAGTAGGCAGATTCTTTCATCTAAAGTAGGCAGACTGATTCTTTCTCATCTCTAACGAGAACAGGCTTCCATGTTCGACTTTTCAGAAAATCAACTTCCTAGAAGGTAAGTTTCATGGGGGCGGGGATTCGTTGTCAGTTTTATTCACTGTGCTCGCCCCAGGGCCTGCAGTGCTGCTCAGTGCACAGTAGGCTCAATGTATGACTGCAGGGGAAAAGGGAGGGAGTTCTCGTTTGGGGCCGAGTTGGCCAGAGATCTGGAGACAAGGACCAAAGTCTCTGAGACCCTCCCGCCTCATAAAGGGGACATGGATGCCCCCTGGGCATGGGGGCAGGAACCGGCAATGGGAGTGAGCCCACCGTGGGCCACAGCTCACCTGACAGCAGCATGGGGTCCTTGTCCACAGACTTGCGCACCTGGTCAGACTCCCCTGTCAGGGAGCTTTCATCGATCTTGAGGTCATTGCCCTGGATGAAGAGGCCATCTGCAGGGAGGAGGTCGCCTGGTAGGAAGAAGGGTGAGGGGGTCAGTCAGCAGGGTCTCAGGTGGCTGGAGAGGCTGGAGTATTCTCTTCAAGGTGTGGTTGCAAGGAAGGTTCGCCCTTGGGAACTGGCTGCCTAGAGTTCCCAGGATGCAGGAGCCAAGATGGCGCCCATCAAAGGACCACAGACAGCTGAAGCCTGGGGCCAGGGTGAAGGGCATGAGGCCTGGGGGGCTGAGGTTAGGTCCCGCTATAATCCTCGCTTGGGTGGGCATATCCTTCAGTTTATAAAGTGCTTCTCTTGGCATGGCATGGACTTGGGGCCCAGTTTTCTCAATGATTCAATCTTCTCTGGTCTCAACTATGTTTTGGGGAAATTCTTTTGGAAGGGATTAATCTCTCTTGACTAGGCTGAAGAGCCCCCCCAAGACAGGCATGTTATCAGAGGAAACCAAGCCCCCTAGGGCTGAGTGAGGAGAGGCCTGCCAATCTTTCCCCCATCTTTGGCCTCCACTTACCTAGGACATATCTCATCTAAATCCCCTTTGGCACCAGCCTGCTCACGTTCTCCATGGCAGTATCACAGGCCTAGAATGTTCACTCATCCATGTCCACTCCCTGTAACACCTTCTCTAGCCCAACAACCATCCATTAACAGCCAAATCAGAGGTGGGAAATGGATTTCACCTCATCAACCCATTCTGAGTGTTAGTGGTCCTTGGAGTGTTATACTGAGAAGGCGTCTGAGGATGTATCAAGGCTTTGAGCTGAGATTGATTAGGAATGTCTGCTAAGGGTAGAAGTCTGGAGAGTTGTGGTACGTGTGCCATGTATTTGCCATTTCTGATTTAAATGCCATTTCTGATTTAAGATTCTGGAATCTATGTATTTGCCATGTATTTTGCCATTTAAATTTAAATGCCATTTCTGATTTAAGATTCTGGAATCTTACCTCCAGAAAGGAGCCTTCCACCTCTCCAAGGAGCTCAGAAGACAACTTGGCTTGGGCTCAGCCTTCAGGAATCCACCCCCTGCCCTGGACCAGCCTCTCTGGGTCCCACCTGTGCCCAGATGCCAGCTCCAGCATGTGGCTCTGTGGTTGGGTCACTTACCATATTTGACCTGGGCGATATCCCCAACCACGATCTCAGCCACAGGGATCTGGACCACCTGGCCAGCCCGGACCACGGTGAACTTCTGCTCCTGTTCAATGCGGCTCTGCAGGCCCCGGAACTGTTTCTCTTTGCTCCAGTCATTGAAGGCCGTGACCAGGACCACGCAGATGACCGAGAGGAGGATGGCGGCCCCCTCGATCCAGCCCGCCTCCGCCTCCCCTTCATCTTCTGCCCCCGCCTGGGCCGTTGCACATCCTGCAGACAGCAGAAGGAAGCAGGTGGGGTGGGTCAGCCAGGCAGAAGGGGCCTCACAGCAATCAATAGTGCAAGTGCTTTAGGGTCTAAAATGCAGTTTTGCTGATGTCCTTTCCTTCCCTTCTTCCAGCAACTGTGAGGCAGGTTTCTAGGCTGCGGCGGGAGCCATAGTGCTGGACCTGCCCTCCAACAAGCTGGTCTGAATCCTGCTGCTGCCGCTCTATGGTCCTGGGTAAGCCTTCCCTAAGCTTTGGTGTCCTTATCTGCAAAATGGGAGTCACTGAGACCACATTCCAGACTCAAGGGGAGGAAGGCAGAAGCTCCAGCCTGTGCTTAGCACCAGGAGTTCTTACTCAGCCCTTGTTGGATTTGAGCCCCGACTGCACAGTGAGGACACCGACACTCCGAGCCACTTGTCTGATCCACAGTGACCCTCCACCCCACACCCTTGCACCATTGAACTTCCAGGTCTGGGCCCCACATTGCTTAAGGCCTGCCAGACCCACCATGTGACAAAGAAAAAGAAGACACCAGACACATCTGATGCCAAGGCCTCGGACTTGAAGGCAGGTCCTGCCCACGCAGTGCTGAGCCCTAGCGCCTTTCCAAGCCCCTCCGCACATCCCGTCTCCTGCATCCCCAGAAGGATCTGGAAAGTCAGAGGTATTACCCCCATGGACACATGTGGAAACTGAGGCCCAGAGAGATGAGTGCCACACCAGGACTGGCCTAGGCCCTTCCTTCCAATGGGCAGGCGTCGGGGGGTGGAGAAGTGTCTCTCCATGGACAGCATCTGACGATCCACTCCTAGAAAACTCAGAGCGGGCCCCTTCCACCGAGGCTGGGCCCCACTGGGCCATTCGCAAGGCCTGCTGTGTGCCAGGCATTCACTTTAATCCTCAAGCTGGCTGAGAGGAGGGAAGCAGTTCAGAGAGGGACAGCAACTCAGCCAGGATCACACAGCAGATCTGGAGTCTGAATCCAGGCCTGGAATCTAACACTGGACCTGGCCTGCCCACTACCCCTGAGCCCAGCGGCCCTCTCTGCCACACGCTGGCCTCACTGGGAAAGTAGAAAATGTCGCCAAAGACCCATGGTCGACTGTCTGGAAGTCTAATTCAGTCCCAAGGAATAGAGAACAGCGGTTTCAAGAGTCCCCAGCATGACTCTCTGGGAAACGAGGGGTCGAAAGCAACATGACCAGAAGGCCAGGTGGTACCAGGGAATGTTTTCTGGCTCTCAGCTCCTGGAAGGGTCAAGGCTCAGCTGGTGGGCCCGTGCTCGAGATGATACAGAGTCACTGCAGGCCGGCGGTGTGGGTCACTAGAAAATTCCACATCTCTGGCTGAACCAGCCACTCCTCATCGGCTCATAAACAACGATACCACTGTGTGGGGTTCTCAAAGCCACTTTTCTTTTCTTTGGGAATTTCAGACTTTTCTAATAATTTTAAACTGTTGAACTGAACCAGCCTTTGGTGGTGATGATAATCGTTATCATGGCGATGGTAACTGACCTCGGGCTATAGCTGTGAGCTCAAATCCCAGCTGTGTGCCCGGAGCTAGCTGCTTAACCGCTGTGCCCTGGTTTTCTCATCTGCAAAACTGGGGTAATGACAGGTGCTCCCTCCTAGGTGGTGGTGAAGTCTGGGGAGAGGCTGTACGTAAAGCACCTGACGCAGCAGGCACACAGTAAACGCTCAGTGTGAGGGTGGCTTCTTGTCCAGCACGTGACATCATCACGCAGGCAGCCTGAATGGGGCCTCGGGCCCCCACGTGGCAGAGGGGATCCAGTTGGACCTCAGAACCACGTGAAGATGGGAGGAGGGGAACTAAGGTGCCCCTCTACTAGTGAACAACCCCAGTGAAATCCCCCAAACTGGGAAACACAGGTGAACCTTGCTAAAGAGAAACCCAGTACACGGAGATGCATTCTCTTGGACTTGGGGGAGTGATTCAAGATACAGAGCCCAGTGCTTCTCCTTCTGGGACCTTTGTTATCCCCTGCCCCTGCCACATGCTCTGTAAGTGGGAGGGCTGTTTTGTCCCTGTCCTGTGCTTCATCAATGGCCCCCCGCTTTAGTTACTGAAATGTTCAGGACACTCAGAGACAGTCCAGGACAATGAAAAGCCTTTGGGCCCTGGAACTGGAAAGACATGGCTTCAAATCCAGGCTCTGCTGTGTGATCTTGGGTAAGTGACTTGGCCTCTCTGAGTCTCGGTTTGGACAGCTATAAAGTGGGATGACCCCAGGGACTTTGTGAGCCCAGGGCTTAGTAAGGGCCTGGCATGTGGTGAGTACACGGCAGACATTGGTCCTCTCCTTTTCATGAGCTTCTCTCTTTGGACTGACTTCTGAGAACCAAGGGCATGGTAGCTGAGACCTGTTACCTGTTACCTTGTCTCCAAGCCCCGTCTGCTGCCCTTGCTGATTCAATACCAAGGAGCCCTCTGGGCCTTTGAGGGCACTCACTTGGCCAGCAAAAATTCCATTAGCTTTTTGAGAACTATCTGATGACTACATGGTGCCCTGGGATGGCAAGAAAGTAGGGATGCAGACTGCTTAAGCTATTGGGAGCCGCCAAACCCTGAAAACAACTCCTGCTGCTCTGGTGCAATTAAGGGTAAGAGATGAGAAAGGGGAAGAAAGAGGGGCATGGGTGGGCCCTGCTGAGGTCTCCTCTGGGGCTCCCTTGGACTGGGGCAGGGACAGGATCTGGAGATCGTGACCACAGCGTCTGGGAAACCTGCAGCTGCCCTCCCTGGACGCGGGGTTTTCTAGGGTGTGGCCACATACTGTCTGTGTGACCTTGGGGAATCCACTTGGCCTCTCTGGGCTTCCCTCTAGTTGTTCATCAGTAAAATGGGGAAACTACTGTCTAGGTGGTTACCAGGGCCTGGCATCGAATAAGGGCTCTCAAAACGGGTCAAGCCACAAACATTTTCCAAGCACCTACTATGTGCCGGTCGCTCTGCTGGCACTCTGGCACTAGGGGAGCTGTCACAGGCAGGGAGTGGGAAACATGGGGTATGCCTATCCCAGCCCTGCCACAAAAGTGTTGTGTGACCTCTGACAAGTGTCTGGAGGTCTCTGAGCCAAGAAAGCCAACAGGGAAGGGCAAGGCAGCCTAGAGCCTGTTAGTTCATCACCAGCGTCGTTTTATACATAACTGATGCAGCCTGAGTCTGACATGGCAGGGGGTGGTCCAGGCAACACGGAAGGTCCAGAGCTCAGAGCTCAGGCCAGGGCCTGGGTGCTGGGGAGGAGGTAGCACAGTCCCGAAGTGCAGGAACTTCATTCTGTGGGACTAGAGTGTGTGCATCTGCGCTCATCAACTGAGTGTGGCCTGAGCTACTGTCTCAGCTGCAGGAAGGGAGGGCAGTAGAAAGAACCAGAAGCCTTGGGTTTAAAATCCAGCCCTACTGTCTAAAAGCTGTGTGACCTTAGGCAAGTCCTTCCCCTCTCTGGGCCTTGGCTCCCACCTCTCTAAGATGGAGGTGATCACAGCCATCTGTGTGCAGGGCTGGGGGAAGGCTCCTCCTGGTACAGCCTGGGAGCCTGATCCATGTTCCCACTGCACCCCCTCTATCATCTGCCTGCTGAGTTCTAATCTTGCATTAAATTGGGTCACATGAGGTCACTTCTCCACTGACTCAACCTGGTCACTTTCTGAGGAAACGTAGCTGAGGGATAGGAGCATGGGCTCGGGAGCTGGAACGCCTTGGTCTGAGTCACGGTTCTGCCGCTTCCCAAAGTCTGAGCTCCTCCCAAGTCATTTACCATCTCAGGGCCTTGGTTTCCTGGGTGATAATAGCACCTGCCCACGGGGTTGTTGTGAGGGTCAAGTGAGGATCAAATGAGCTGTTACCCTAAAAGCTTCCAACCAGTGGTGGCTCTAAAAATAGTAGGAATTCCCTTCTTATTACGCTTTGTGTTGCACCCTTAGCTTTGTTCAAGGCTCATGCAAGTAGCCGTGAGCCATCTTCTATATTTTCTGGAAAACTTCTGCAGAGAATGCTGCCCATTATGCATCTCTCATAATATCCTACGTGAAAGTTCATCCCAGAATTCGTTGTCAGGGGACACGCTGTCTTCCTAAAGGACTAGCTTTCCTCCTTGTTGATTACTTGAGCTATGCGAATCATCCTAATTCACTTTCTGCTTTGGCTGCCAGGAAGTTCAAAGTCAAATTTATACCTCAATCGTGGTAGCACATTTATCTGCTTTAAACCCTCTTTGGAAAGAGGGCATGCAGAGAAAAGAAATCAGCCAGTAATACGAGGTATAAAACTGAGGTAGTTGGCCAGACAGACTTGGCTATCCAGTTTCTCAGAAAACTCTGGCCTGGGAGGGGGTGGGGTGACAGCTGTTCAAGGAACCTCAGAGACCACTTTCTCATTTGGGGAAAGGAGGCCCATAAGGGTGATTTCTTACATGCTTTTCACTTTTTATTTGCTTGCCTGAAGCAGTGACGCTAGTAGGATTATCTACTTACACAGCACATTGATGAGGAAATGTCTAATTATAATGAATAACAAAGAAAAGTGTTTATACTTTTCTACTAACGCCAAATCAGATTATAAAAAGCTAACAACAAAAATATGTGATCCCACATATCTCATGGTATGTGTGTGCATATATATCTGTCTGCCGATCTATCTATGTATATATGTGTAGAGTGATACAGGTTTAAAAGACTTTGTCATCATAAAGGAAAGCTGTCATTGGAGCTGGTGAAGCCCTAGCCCTTGGGGGGTGCTCAGTTTCTGGAATGAAGGATGAATGGAGGTTGAGGTTTTCTTTTCCTTTCTTTTTTAAAAATTGAAGTATAATTGACTTACAGTGTCGTGTTAGTTTCAGGTGTAGAGCACAGTGATTCAGTTATACATGCATGTGTGTATACACATACACACACACACACACACACACACACACATTCTTTTTCAGATTCTTTTCCCTTATAGGTTATTACAAAATATTCAGTAGAGTTCCCTGTGCTATACAGTAGGTCCTTGCTGGTTATCTATTTTATATATAGTAGTGTGTATATGTTAACCCGAAACTCCTCATTTATTTATGAGGTTTTCCATTAGGACTTCTAAGTCCTGACTTTGAGAAAGTGGGTTTGCCCCAGAACCCTCCCTGGGTGAGCGGCACACTGTCTCCTCCACCCACAAAACAATGTCCCCATTCAGAACCCAGGACAGGTTTCGGGATGCCCTCTCAAGGCTGAGACTCGTCACGTGGGAAAGCATGTTCCGCGTCAGGCCCACAAGGGTGTACGTGACACTGAACCAAGCTAGGACCGGGACTGGGAGTCCTTCTCCCGCAGGTCACACAGTGTGGGATCCCCGACGGGGACGCAGGGAAGGAGACCCGGGGCGGTCTCCCCGCAGCGGCTGCAGGTCCAGCACCTCCAGGTGCCCTCTGTGTGTGCCACGCTGTCCACACGGCCCTTCACCACCTCCCTGTAATAACCCTTCGAGGTGAGGTCTGTCGCCCTGTTTTGCAGATGAGGAAACTGAGACTCAGAGAAGGAAAGTGACTTGCTTAAGGGCACACAGCCGGGCAGTGATGGAGACAGGATTCTAACCCGGGAGAACGGGCTCACTTCAGAAACTGAGTCTTCATCCACTTTATTCTCCTTCCACACTCAGAGAGCGGTGGCTGGCCGGGGACAGGGAGAATGGCTTTCTTGGAGCAAAATTTCCCTTCCTGATCTTCTAGGACAGAGGTTGGCGAACTTTCTCTATAAAAGGCCTGGAAGTGAATACTTCAGTCTTTGTGGGCCTTGCTGTCTTTGTCACAGTCATTCAACCCTGCCGTCGTGGTGGGAAGTCAGCCACAGACAGCATGGAAAAGAAATGGGGGTGTCCCAACGAAATTGCATTTTTAGACGATGACATGAATTTTCATACAATAGTCACGTGCCGCGAAATAGTATTATTTTGATTTTCTTCCAGCCGCTTAAAAATGTAAACACCAATCTTAGCTCACGGGCCATGTAAAAACAGGAGGTGAGCCAGAGTCGGCCGTGGGCTGAAGTCTGTGGTCCCTGTTGTGGAATATCAGGTGCACAGAGCTCGGACGTCATCATGGATTTTTTCGTAGTTGCAGGCCTTGAGGAGCCAGCAATTTCGGGGTTCTGAGGAGAAACCCAGCGTTGGAGCTGACACAGGGTTGCTCAGAAGCTGGAGCACCCAGGGAGCAGGGCACCTGAGCACAGGGCTGATGCCCTGTCAGATCAGAGCGTGGATGTGGGCCCCGGGTGAGCGATTCGGGGGCTGTGTCTCCAGCTGTGAGAGTGGGGAGCTCTTAGAGAGCAGCCTGGACAGGAGTTCGGGGTCACCCACCCTTGGGCTCCATCCAACACAACCAGAGTCTCTCAGGGAGTGGTCTGGGCAGTGGTGTTTTTAACAAGCCCCGGTGCAAAACCTGGGGACTATTTCTTCGCTGGGTGACCTCGAGCCAGTTAACTCACTTCTCTGTGCCTTGGTTTCCTCATCTTTAAGATGGGCATAATCATGGACCCTACCTCATGGGGTTGTTAGGACAGCATCTCAGCCCAGAGCTCGGCACCCTGTAAGTGCTCAATAAACACTCACTCTAACATGACCGTTGTTGGTGCAACCCCTGCATTTCACACATGGGAGAATGGGGGCCGGACACTCTCAGCCTGGGGTCGGGCTCAGCCACCCACTAGCTGTGGGTGAGGCCCTGCCCCTTGGGCTTTGGTTTCCTCACCTGGAGGGAGCCACGGCCGCGAGCTCCTAGTGCCCTCCTGTGTGGCCAGGCACGCGTGTTGCCGGGTGGGCAGCAGGGGTCCCAGGCCCTGTCTTACCTTCGTTGTTTTCACCAGGCGGGTGGTAGAAGGATAGCCCCAGGGAGATGATGGCCGCGATCTCCAGGATGATGAGCGTCACGTCTTGCAGTGCCTCCCAAACGAGCTGCAGGAAGGTTTTTGGCTTCTTTGGAGGTATAAAGTTTTGCCCAAAAATCTGCTTTCTCTTTTCCAGGTCTGGAGCGGTACCCGGCAAACCTGCGGACAGAGCGCAGAGAGGTTGGCCTGGGGGCCCAGGAGACACACACACGTTCCGGGAATCATCCACACGGTGGAGGGAGGAGAGAAGGGGAGAGAGGCAAAAATGAGGCAGGGGGCTGGCAGGCACCCACCAGGAGCCTGGCGCCCAGTGTTCGCTTTGGCCCAGAGGGTCTCCTGAACAGAGACACTAGCGTGCTGGGGTTGGAGGACTGGAACATTCTGCTGTTACAGTTGTGGGGCCTCGTGGTCTAATATCTACTATCATAGATAAGCTATCACATCGCAGCTTCTAGAACTCCAATAGTCTGTCGTTCATTCGCTCATTCATCCAGTTATTCATTCAACCCGTGCTTCTCTCGCTGCTGCAGGCCCGGCCGGTGTGAAGGCTGGGGAGTGTCCCGAGAAGGGGAAAGCCCCACACTCCGGGATGCAGGAGCTCAGCGGTCCTGGGAGTCCCGCAGCCTATGGCTCAGGGGTACAGGACGTGGCCATGCCGCCTCCTGTCTGGGTTTCTAGGTGCTGATGCCGACCGTGAGACACCCACCTACCGCCGCCGAGAGCCGGGCTGGCGAGACCTCCTGGGAGAGCCGGGGGCGGCTCGTTCCCAAAGAAACCCCACACCTGCCTTGCCTCTCAGTGCAGGTAAGCACTGGAGATCCGCTGTCCTGCCTGTGCACGGGAGGGAGGAGCCCGAGCTGAGTTATGCCCATTTCATAGAGGAAGAGACCGAGGCCTTCATGAGACCCAGAGGTGGCCTTGACGCCGCTCCTGGGACCTGAGAACCCAGGCCAGCCCTGTTCGAAGCACATGGAAATGTTGCCCCCAGCCTCTTGTGCTGTGGTGGCACCTGGGAGCTCCATACCCAGAGCAGGCAGGCACGATGTAGTATGATTCAGGGACTGCAGGGAGGTCCTTGTCTTCCTTCCTTTGCCCAGTTCTACCCACAGACAATGTCTGAAATGCTTCCCTTTACCTAAAAGCTCCAACTCCTTTAGACTCCCTGGGAGGGGAGGCCATCGTTGGTTCTGGACACCATAGTGTGAACGAGCTTCAGGCTTTTTCCTGGGAGTGGGTTTTGATGAGGGGAAGAAGGGAGAATTTGAGAGGGTGGTGGGCCTCTGAGGAAGGGGCTAGGCACAGTCAACGGTGGCCTGTTACAGCAGTTAGCTATGCCTTTGGTCAGCCAGTTCCTTTCTCTGAGCCTCAGTTTCCCCATCATGAAAACAGGAGAGCTCAATAGAATGTACGGACCCTGAGGAGCCCAGGGATTTCAAGGTCTACAGGCCCTGAAGTGATCTTGCTGGGGTCTGTTCACATTTTGGGGCTCCTCATAAGGTTTGGAGTAAATGAAGGTTTCACTAAGAAGTTTGGTGACAGTGGGACCAGCCCACCTCCTGGGCTCCTCCTGATTGATTCAAGGACAGATGAGTCTTTGAATCTCCTGAGTGTCTGTGATTCAAATGTTCTGGAGTCTACCAGTAGTGTGACCAGTAGAAAATATGGGCGTCCTCCAGGTCAGGGGGTCTAGCCATGGTTTAGAGGTTCTGTCATCCGGTTGCTCACAGGCCTAACATTGAGATCCTGGGTCCTGAGTCAGAGCACAGGGCAGGAGCTGCAAATGAGAATAGCTGTGGGGTCGGGCAGGTTTTGTGAATGAGTGAAGTAGGTGGGTGGGAGGCAACAGGGAGTGATGGGGACTGGGGCAAAGTGAAGAATCTCAGCCCTTCTAAAGGGGATATTTCTCATCTCCTGTGGGGGACTGTGGGCCCAGTGTGGTAGACTCTCTGGTCTTCTAAGACAAGCTGGACACCTGGAATTTGACGTAAAATTTCCCCATTAAAAACATTCCAGGGCCAAACACAACATATCCATAACCTGGATTTAGCCCGTAGGTGGCTAGTTTGAGACCAAGCACCAAGAACTCGGGTGGGGCTTGGAGTCAGACGTCATGGGCTCAAATCCCAACTTGGAGTGACTTTGTGCCTCAGTTTCCCCTTCTGTAAAATGTGGGCAACGGCGGGGCCTACCTCACGGGGGCAGGACGAGGCTTTGGCAGGCTGTCCGTGTAAGGTGCCTAGTGCTATGCCAGGCACCAGGTGAGGATATCGGGTTATTATTGTCCAGTCTTAGGAGGTGGAGTAATTAATCACGACCTCCTGGAGGAAGAAGACTGCAGGAAGACTTCCCCCCAGTAAGGTGGGGAGGAGGGCGGTCAAGCTGAGGACAGGCACAGGGGAAGGCCATGGTGACCGCAGACCAGCCACTTCCCTCTGGACCTCAGTTTCCCCACACGTGACATGAAGGATGGGCTTGGCGGAAGGCCGGGGACTGGTAGCTCTGATACCTTATATCCAAAGACAGTTTTCTCGATAACACGTGGATGCAGCACCGCTAGTTTATGTGCACACGTGTGGATGTGGCACAGAGTGGGACCAGCTGCTTGTGAGCAGCCAGACACTGTGTCCCTCTAGCCGTCGTGACACACATGGACATAAATGTCTCCACTGATTTAAGTCCCCTAGTCTGGCTGAGTTTCCACCCCTATCTCCGCTGTAGGAATTCCTAGACCCATGAAACCTGTCAGCCCATGGCTCTAGAATGTCTATGTAGGCAGGCAAGTGGGCACTGGCAGGAGGGTGGCAGTGGGTGGTGAGGACCTGGTTGGAAGGTGGGTGGCCAGGACTTCATCTAGAAGCTGTGAAGACGTAAATTATCTGTATCAAAGAAACGGGCGGTGGCGGGGGGGGGGGGGGGGGAGGCGGTCCAGTGGAGGTGAAGGCCCTGAATAGGGCTGCCCGATAAAATACAGGATGACCAGTTAAATCTGAATTTCAGATAAACAGCAAATAATTTTTTAGTATAAGTTATGTCCCCTATAATACTGGGGACATACTAATAAAAATTATTTTTTACCTCAATTCAAATTTCACTGGATATCCTGTACTTCACGTTGTTAAATCTAGCAACCCTACCCCTAAAGCAACCCCCCATCCCCTCCCCCACGGTTCTCCCATTGTTGGAGTAGGACAAGTCCTGTGGTCAGCCAGTCTCACTCTCCCATTTGACAGGCAGGAAAACTGAGGCCCAGAAATGGGGAAATGACTTGGCCCAGATACAGTGATTCAGCTGCAGAGCTGGGGCTGGACTCCTGACTCCTGGCCCAGGCCCTTTTCACCAAGGGAGGGGCTTCTCATCTTGCTCAAATGAGAAGTGAGTGAGCTTTAAAAAACTAAGCCTTATTGCACACACAAAAGTATGGACATTTCATACTCTCTCTGTCAACCTCATTTAAGAGATTTGATTCAGACTGTCCTGAGGTGACCTCTGAGTAGCCTTTATCTCATCTCCTTGGAAAAAGGGAGGCCAGAAAAGCCATTTTTCTCTCCTCCTGCAAAGGGTTCTTGATGGTTGAATGCAGACATCTGAGACGTCATCATGAGAGGAGCTTCCCTATCTTTCCAGGAGGGGGCGCTCTGCAGAGCAGCTGCCTGCAGCCTCAGGACAGCTTTCAGAAACAGAGGGACCAAATTCCAGTCTCAACCTGCCACTAACTGAGACTTTGGGCAAGTGGCACCCCTTCTCTCAGAACCTCAGTTGCCTCACCTGCAAACTGGGGCAGAGGGACAACCCTCTGCTCTGCCTGCTGGGGAGAAGGTGAAAGGCCGTGCAATATGGGAAATGCCTGGCACACAGTAGGTGCCCAGAATCTGGGCAGAAAATCCCTTTGAACTCATATGCCACCCCCATACGGCATTGCCAGCAGGGGCAGAGTATTCGTCTTTTCACTGTTCTGGGACCCTGAGTGACCCTTTAGAGATGCAAGACCTACACCCCCCCCCCCGCCCCCGCCACCCCATTCCCTCCACTATGTTGGGGCTGCAGACAGCGGGGCACTAAATGCACACATACGTGCTCTTAGGTGATCATCGCTTTACATGTGGCTTGCATTCACTTCTCCTGGCCATTCTATAAGATGGCAATTCTAAACTCCATTTCATGGATGGAAAAATTGAGGCTCAGAGAGGTAAGGTGACTTGCTCAGGGTCACACAGCTAAAGCTGGGATTTGAACCCAGGTCTCTGAGGCTCCACAGCTGTACTATTTCTACATCGTGCCAGGATGCCTATTTTAGGGCCCAGGACCTAAAAGCTAACAACTCCACTGTTCTCCTTGTTCTCGAGACAGCCTTTGGCTATAAACAGAGACTTGGCAACAGACAAGAGCTAGCTCCCAGGGATGCCAAGCACCTGAAGAAAATGGGAAAATTTAGTCACCAGGCTGGGTGTTGCTAAATATTTCTGTTGTCGCTGTGGTGTAGGTTCCTCCATTAGCATAAATAAAAGCCTTATATTTTGAAAGAAAAAAACCCCCATAAGCCCTTCAAAAGCTACAACATTTATAGAAAAATGCATTTCTGTCTTTGGAAAGTGAGTGGGCTAAATCAACTGTGGTGCATCCAGTCCATAAAATACTATGTAACAATTTTTAAAAATGCAATCCATTTATATGTACTAACATAGTACAAACAGTGAAAAAATCAAGTTGCAGAGCAATGTGTATAGTTTGATTCCACTTATGTAAAACAGAAAACTCAGGAAAACCATAATTTATATTTTCTGTGGGTACATATATATGTAAATATGTAGCAAAATGTCTGTAAGGATCTGCTCCAAACCCATGACAGTGGAACCTCTGGGGAGGAAAAGGGCACTCTGATTGGTTGCAGTGGTTGGGACTCTAGCTTTGACTGAAATATTTTGATTTTAACCAGGAGAATGTATTCATGTTTTATTTGAATGATTCAAAGTTTAATTTAAAGGGGGAAATCAATAGGTACTGTAAGAAAATACATGTTTTTTTCCATGTAACCTTTAGACATGAACTTGGAGACAAATATTTCTGGGTTAAAATCTTGGCTTCAACACTTAGTACCTGTGTGTACCTCCGCCCAAAGAAATACTTAACTCAGATCCCACCACTCCCCTTCACTACCTGCA